TGTTGGGTGCAAAATCTATATCATGTGTGATCCACCTCAAAAACCTACAGTGACCCATCAAATTGTATTTCTTCACAGTTTTAGACCAAACTTTAAGTGATACCTCCAACCAAGGATTTATTTTTATTTTCAAATGTGACCTCAGCGTTTCATCGCATAAAATAGCTTGTATCGGTAGCCCCTCTATTTGTCTTCCCTCAATGTCTTTCCATTTTGCAGAATATTCTGGATAACACAAAAGAATCAAAACCCTCAGCTGCGCCGCCTGAAAGTAACTTCTTAGGCAAGGTAAAGCTAGGCCCCCACTCTCCTTTGGCAGTTGTAATGTTCTATATTTTATTCTTGGTTTGGCACTCTGCCATATATATCTAGATATAATTTTGTCCAACTCTTTAAATTCTTTTGCTGACACCTCAATTGGAAGATTTTGAAATATGTATAGCAGACGGGGTAAAACGTTCATTTTAATCACTTCCACTCTTGATACCAAGCTCAGGTACGGTATTAAGTTCCATCTTCCAAAGTCCATTTTGGTCTTTGATATTATTTGATCGTAGTTTAAGGATTTTAATTTTCCCAAGTCTTTCGGTAAATTAATACCCAAGTACTTCATGGACGTCATATCCACAATTAACATCTTATGACTTGACTTGGTTCATAATTAAAGGTTATGACTTGAGTTTTTTGGACGTTAACTGTGTACCCCGACAGCCTACCAAAATCTTTAAAATAATTCATTAATATAGGCAAAGATGAGTCTGGATTCTCCAAGTAAATCAGGACATCATCCGCGAATAGAGCTATTTTCTGTTCTAACCCTGCTATTACAATGCCTTGAATGCTATTATTTTGTTTTATCCACTGGCTTAATGGTTCCAGAAAAACAGCAAATAGCAAAGGGCTTACTGAACATCCCTGACGGCAGCCCCTTTCTAATTTAATAAAATTAGATAAACTACCATTGACCTTGATCCTTGCTATAGGGCCTGTGTACATAGCGCGAATGGTCTCAATACACCTTTCGTGGAAATTGAACCTCTTCATTACCCGGAATAAGAAATCCCACCTTACTGAATCGAATGCTTTTTCTGCATCCATTCCCATTATTAAAGCTTCTAGCTTCTTATCATTAATATGTTGCATAATATGCAACGTTCTACGGATATTGTCCTGGGTTTGTCTATGTTTTATGGATCCGGTTTGATCTAAACTTATAATATCAGGCAGAATGTTTTCAAAGCGCCGTGCTAGAATTGCTGTAAATAATCTATAATCTATATTAAGCACACTTATAGGCCTATAATTTGAACAGTTGGTTTTATCTTTGCCCTCCTTAGCAATTACTGATATGATTGCTTCCCTCCAGGAATCAGGTATAGCCCCTCCTTTCAATATCCAATTAAAAGTCTTGTGTAATAGTGGAATTAAGGTTTTTCTAAAAGTTTTATACCATTCCGAAATATATCCGTCTGCACCAGGGCTTTTATTATTTTTGAGCTTTGAAATTGCTGAATTTATTTCTTCTGCCGTTATTTCTGACACCAATGAATTATTTTGCTCTTCTGTTATTTGTGGTAAATTTAAACTGTTTAAAAAATCATCAATCTGGGAATCATTATTATTATGTTTCTGGGAATATAACCTGCTGTAGTAAAATTCAAAAATCTTATGTATTTCTTCTGTCTTATAAACCACAGAATCTGTCTGTGGATCTTTAATTTTGTAAACATGTCTTCCTGTCTCCTGTTTTTTAAGCCTATACGCCAGTAATTTTGCAGACCCACTCCCCGCTTCATAAAATCTTTGTTTAGTGTATATCATTTTATTCTGAATTTCTTGTGAGAATATCTCATTAATCTCTGCTTTTATTCTTTTAATTTCTGCCATAATTTTGCTATCTACTGAGTTCTTATGTTCTTTTTCCAATCTTTTCAAACTACTTTGTAGAGTTTTAAGCCTTTCTTGTTTCTTTTTCTTCCTAAATGCAGATCTTGCAATCAGTTTCCCTCTCATCACTGCCTTGCATGCATCCCACAAAACTGATGGGGAGACCTCCCCATTGTCATTTTGTTCTACATATTCACAAATCTCTTTTTCGATTTTCTCCTTCATTTGACCAATAAGCAGGTTTGAGTTCAGCCTCCATACTGTTTGTTTCTTTTCTGTCCCCAACAATATATTCATATATATTGGACAGTGATCAGACAGATCCATCACTCCAATATCACAGCTTTCTATTTTGTATCTATCTCTTCCATATATAAAAAAAATAGTCAATCCTTGAATACACCGAATGTGGTGCAGAAAAGTAGGTATAGTCTCTCTTAGATGGGTTTAGTTCCCTCCAGATATCTATAATTCCCAGATATGTTATTATCTTCTTAATTTTTTTCCCTATATCATTTTTCTGCTGTGCGTTTCCTGATGAGTCTAGCTGTGCATTAAGTCTCTGATTAAAATCCCCTCCAATAATTACCATCCCCACTCCCTCTGTTGTTAACAGATCAAAGACTTGTTTAAAAAAAACCCAATCTGATCCTGGAGGGGCATATGCACTCATTAGGGTTACTAATTCCCCTTCTAATCTTCCTATCACCAAAACATACCGGCCCTCCTTATCCTTAATTATCTTCAGCATTTCGAAATTAATTCTACCTGATATCAGTATTGATACCCCTCTTCTCCGGCCCAATTTATAAGATGATGAAAACTCCTGATTATAACCCATTCGCTTCAACTTTTCATGCTCTTTATCTGTTAAGTGGGTCTCCTGTAGAAAAAGTATCCCAACTCCCTCTTTCTTCATTTTACTAATTATCTTGTTCCTTTTAATTGGGCTGCCCAAACCGTTAGTATTATAAGAAGCTACTTTCAATTTACTATTTCGTGTTGTCATTTAACAAAACATTTTGTTTAACATCAATGTCTCTATCCCCTGTGCTACAGATAAAAAATGAACCTTGAGAGCAATCATTAACTCTAGAACAAAACAAAACTCTCACCGTTTCCAAAACTGAGGTTTTACAGTCTTTAACCTTTCCTGAGCTCACACCAAGCTCTGAGGGGAAGCCCCTACAAGTTAGAGGGCCCTCATGACCATTTATGGTCCTTCCCATCAGTCTCTTCTGTACACAGATTCCCCACTTACGACTTCACGAAGAGAAGAAAAATACAAATAAAAGAAAAAGGGAAATAAAGAAAAATCCCTTTGCCCACACTTATCGTGCGCTGGAAACGAAACAACTAAATAATTTCTTACCTAAGTTAGGTCTTTTTTTTTTTTTTTTTTTTATTCAACGCTTAACCATAACTCTGAGAAAATGTATTAACTCCCTATGTATTATAATGGTAATACCGGTCCGGTTACTTTAGTTTGATGGGCCTACTCTTGTGCAGTCTCCTTAGTTCTTCTAAAGGATTGCAGTTTCGCCTTGTATCCCAAAGTAGAAGTCTCTGCCTGGTCCTGTCTGCCTGCTCCCCGGCTGGAGCGCCACATCCGGTGCTGAAACCTCTCTAGTGGATCTACCGCTGGATTAACAATACGCACTTGAAATCCTCTGTCCACCATGTCTCTAGTCGCCTCGGCTGCTGAGTTGTAGAGGCGTGTGTCTCCCTCATAGAAAACCCGAAACTTCGCGGGAACGGCGTTTGAAATCTGATTTTGTTTTCTCTCAGCACTCTCTTTGCTTCGGCGTATTCCTTTCTCTTTTTCATCACCTCTGGTGCGTAATCGTGATCTACATACACTCGTTTCCCTTCAAAGAGGAACCCTTTTTTTTCCCATGCCTTCTTGATAATGTCCTCTTTACATTTGTAGCTTGAAAACTTTGCCACTATAGATCTCGGTGGTGCATCTTCGGATGGGGGAGGTCCCAGCGCCCGGTGGGCTCGCTCCAGGTTGAGCTGGTACTCTGGTGGCAGCTCTAGCTTTTCTCTGAGTAAAGCTTCCACAAAAGACCCCACTGATTCTACATTCTTTTCGGCCCCCTCTTTTATCCCATGTAACCGAATGTTTTCTCTTCTGGCCCTTCCTTCTTGATCAATTTGTCTCTCCTCGATCCTTTTGTGGAGCTTAATGAGCTCACGTGTGATTTCCTCGGTGTTCAGGACTCGCTCCTCCGTTTCTGCGATTCGTCTTTCAGCTTCATCAATCCTGACGTTCGTTGTTCTAAGATCTTCTCTGATGCCGTTTAGACCATCTGCTGTCTCGCGTCTGAACTCCCTTATCTCCCGCAAGACCGCCTCCAGGTCTGACATTTTTCCTTGTAACGTTATTTGCGTTGTTTCGGATGTTAGCTCCGCCGTTGACTCCTGTTCCAACTCCGCTAGCTCAAATGCTAATTTCACTTGCTTGTCGTCGTTCCCGCGTTGCTTAACGTTTCCAGCTTTCCCTCTGGTTTTTCTTCTTGACATATCCAGTGCCCCCGAAATGGTCTTCTTTAAATCATATGTTTCACTCAGGCTTTTTGATTTACGGGGCTGATTCTTATTTTTTTGGGGGGAGCTGCTTCTCTACGATGTCGCCATGTTCGAACCGGAAACGGAACTCAAAACACTCGTCTTAACCTACACTTCATTATTGTGCCTATTAACCATACATTTAGTCTAAGGAGCCATTTACACGACACCGTTTCCAACTAAAAACGGATCAAGTTTTTGAAACGGTCTCTGTGTAAACAGCAAAAACGCCAATCTCTGAAAATGATGATGTCATGCGTATTGTGTTCAGATATAGCAGGGATCTCAAACAGTTTTTCATTTGAGAGCTACTTTTTAAAAACGAAAGAGGCCGAGAGCTACTCATGTAATACACTACTTAAATCTCTTACATAATCTCATGACTCATTAAAGATCTCAGAGAGGGCAAAGGTGGAAGCTGCCAGCTTCAGTGATTTCAGCCTGAGAAAGGGCATCACTGAACAAACAGCACAGCAGTGGGTGTGTGATGTTCAGGAGTGGGCAATCACAGGTAAATCATGCACAGTGCTCGGACTCTTCAGAAATACAACTGTTAGTTACTTTGTTCAAATATGAACTACATAAGGTGATCAGAATCTTTCAAATGAAACTATCGCTTGACTGTGTTACCTATTCAGAGCCAGGTAGCACAACACAACAGGGAGCAACAGAGGATCTCAGGGCTGAGATAGAAAGTATCATAGTGTCCCTGCTACGCAAGAAGCAGGACCTCTATCGTCAGCATGGTTGGTTGACAAATATTGAAATGGCACATTCCAAATGCAAACAAACAAAAACTCTGTTTTCCTTAGAGTTTTATTGTTTCACTTTGCAGATAGCAACCAGACCAGACAAAGAAAGAGAAGAAAAATAAGAGAATTAAAAAACAAACTAAGACAAAAGATTGTACTCTACGATACTGTTGCAGAGGATACGATTGATGGGGAATTGGCTTCCAATTTGACAGAGGACTACATCCTGCCTTGGGAGAGAAGTGAGGATGGTATGGTAGCCTATCTTGACATGTTTTCTAAAATGTATGCCTACATGCCTATGGTATAGCAATGACAAACTCTCTCTATCTCTCAATCTGTCTATCTATATGTGTATGTTTGGGTTTGTAACTTAATTGTGAATACTAAATCACTTTTTCATATTTCCATCAATTCCCTCTACCCATAGGCCACTCCTTCAGATTAAAACGGTCTGTTTTTGACCAAACAATGCTAATTAGACGGCTTGAGGAAGAGCAGAGCATCCTTGTGAAGGAGATGTCTCAGCACATCACGTCTCTACGAAAGGAGATAAAGGCAGTGGATAAGCTTCAATAGAACATCAGAATGGGCTGTAAGTCAAATTCTGAAATTTTTTTTTTCCCTCACTAAATTAGTCCCTTTCCTACTGCTCAACTCACCTCAACTTGACTACAGTAATTTCCTGTGTATTAGCCACATTGTGTATAAGCCGCAGGACAGTGTTTTATGCAAGTTAAAAGAAACAAAACCATATCACTTCCATATTAACTGCCCCCGTGTATTAACCTCATAGCTGAAGAAATTTTGCAAAATCAATATAAACTGCGGCTAATAGTTGGGAAATTACGGTTCTCTGGTTACAGACGTTTTGTTTACCACTGCATAAAAGTACCATTTAATGTAATTGGTTGGCTATAGCGACACTGAAGTCAACTACCCACTATTTGCTTTAAAGGACATTACTGAAGGAGAAGAGATAACTTATGACTATGGTGGAATTGATTGGCCTTGGAGGAAACAGGTTTGTCAAAAAATGTTGAATATTGGCTTTGTTGTAAAAAAAAGTCAGAATGATAGTTTTATTTTACCCAGATTTAAACCAATGCTGATGTTTCTGCCTCAGATTAGTTTTGCCTAGTTCAGTATAATTTCTAACCTATTTTTAAAAGATTGAATCATGCAATCATCATCTAAAAGACTAAATCAATTTAACAACATTTTACAGATATACATTGTGTATATTACTCTTACCTCATGTGTCCTAAAACAACCACAGTTTCTTTGTAGCTATTATTGAAACTTCTAAAGTCTAAACATATACATTCTACATCATGTGTCATTGAACTTTAGATGAGTTTGCTTTCTCCAAGTCATACTAGCTCTTGGCTACAGGTGAATTCAGTCATGCCACACTTCATTTTTACTACTTCCTCAACTGTGACGGTTAGAGCTGTCTTATAGCAGGCAACATAGATATGACAGAAATCACAGCCAACTTGAACCCATCAAAAGTAACTTGGATTTAGCCTCAGATACAGGAAACATGTAAACATTGCCACCACATGCATGTCTCCTGTGTCTCACATGTGTTAATGTTGTTTCCACTGAAGTAATGGTACTGCTGACCATCTATTCAATAATAATGTTAACTCATTCTTCAGGACAAGCCATTGGATGCCACTGAGTCTTCTGAGGCTGACCTCTTCAGAAACACAGAGCAGACTCCTCCGAGATCATCCAGCTTCAAGACACAGGTACTAGTCCGTCTCTTTTACTGTCTTTCACTGGTTCCTCCTTTAGGTTCGAACCTTCTACTTTTTAGTTTCGAGGCGTCTTCTTAATTGTTAACTTCTTCATGGAAGTACATTTTTAGATGTGTATACATCAATGTATATCCTTAGTCCAATATAAACTTCTGCGGACATTCTGGTTTTTGTGGTTTCATGGGGACCAGTCAGTAGGACCAGTGTTTAGTGGCAATCACTCCTTGTGATACACACACTTGTCAGGTCTCTTGTCATTGTGGGGTCCACGCTAACTAAAAATTAATGTAGACATTGGAACACTTTATTGACTCTTTTCTTTCTAGAAGTCTAAACATATACATTCTACATCATGTGTCATTGAACTTTAGATGAGTTTGCTTTCTCCAAGTCATACTAGCTCTTGGCTACAGCTGAATTCAGTCATGCCACACTTCATTTTTACTACTTCCTCAACTGTGACGGTTAGAGCTGTCTTATAGCAGGCAACATAGATATGACAGAAATCACAGCCAACTTGAACCCATCAAAAGTAACTTGGATTTAGCCTCAGATACAGGAAACATGTAAACATTGCCACCACATGCATGTCTCACATGTGTTAATGTTGTTTCCACTGAAGTAATGGTACTGCTGACCATCTATTCAATAATAATGTTAACTCATTCTTCAGGACAAACCATTGGATGCCACTGAGTCTTCTGAGGCTGACCTCTTCAGAACAACAGAGCAGACTCCTCCGAGATCATCCAGCTTCAAGACACAGGTACTAGTCCGTCTCTTTTACTGTCACTTAACTTTTACTTTAACACTTCACTAAATAATGCATTATGCATAACTCACTTTAAACTTTTATTGTAGCTTTTATTATTAAATGCTCTTCCTCTACAATCTGGCTAATGTCAAGTCATCTTCATTTATACAGACCTTTTAGAAATGTAGATTGTTTCAAAGCAGCTTACAGAGATTTTTTTTTTTTTTTTTGGCTTTATAGGGCCAAAAAAATATAGGCAGTTGCAGTCTTTGCCATATATTTAAACCATTTCTATGCCAATTTTCTTTTCTTTTTTTCAAAAATATTAAGATTAAGTGAGGATTTCCAATGTTTCTGAAATACCATTTGATGTACATAGGTATACATTTATGAATGCGTGTTGTCATTCATATCATGTCTTTGATGTTCTATAGTGCTTACATAATCCAGAACCCTTACCTTCAATGAACAAAGTTGGAATGAATCCTTCCCTGGTGGACTACACAGATTCTGATGAATCTCAGAGTCCAAGCCCAAATCATGACCAGTTTAATTCAAGCTGCCAGGTAATTTTTTTTTTTTTTTTTTTTTTTTTTTTTTTTGCCATTTGCATGTATTTTTACAGGAATGGGTACTGAAATATAGTATCAATAAGCTCAAACACTATTGGTTCTGCTTTCAGTACCTATTTCTCCCTTGTCCTTGGGTTTAAATGGTAATTGTGTATTTTTTCAATACTCTAGACATGGTGTCCGACTTCTGAGTTTGAACTAAGCCTCACCCACCAGGACGGAGATTCTGTTCCAAGGCTGAGGAGGACCAAAAGCATACAGGTAAGCAACTCACAATGTAGAAGATGGATGTACATACTTAACATACTTGGCGTCTTGTACGTAACACAAAAGTAATATTTAATCCATGCACTGACTTTGACTTCACTTTTTCTTTTCTGAAGATGAAAAGAAATGTTGAGTTTGATTCAAATGAGCTTTTTGACAGCTCAGCCAGCAGTGGAGAGGAATATATTCCTAAGAGTAGTGAGGATTCATCTGAAGATACAGACACAAGCGAAGTCATTGAACCAGTCAATCAGAAAGAAAGCATGCTTAGATTTCCAATCCAAGGGAAGTACGCTGACATCCGAGAACTGAACGATGTGTCTTCGACGCAAATCCTTAGCAGAGGACGCTCACCTTCAAGAAGAGAGGGCAACTCTGGTATGACACGTAAAAGGCGATGTTCAAGCAGTTCAAGACGTACATCCTACCCTACAACACAAGCAAGTAGTGGTCACTCAACAAAATGGAGTGGAGGGGGAGACCCTGAATCTGTAATACAGAATACAACACCTGATCTGGAGAAAGATCTTCCTGACAATGCCTCTTCCCTCCATACAGAAGAAGTAGCTGATGGTTCGCTTTCCATACCTGCTGTCTGTAAAAAGGAGAACGGGGCAAGAATGTACAACAAAAAGCAATACTGTTTGTACTGTAGGGTGGGATTCGTGAAAATGGCAAGGCATTTGGAGCGCGCTCATAAAGATAAACCAGAGGTTGCACAGGCTCTGTCCTTTCCAAAAGGCTCCAAACAAAGACGAATGCATATGGAACATTTGAGAAACAGGGGCAACTTTGCACACAATGTGGATGTATTAAATGCTGGTGTTGGAAATCTTGTTCCTCGCAAGCAACCAAGGAAGGATTGTCAAGCACAGAATTTCCTGCATTGTGTACATTGTCATGGTTTCTTCACAAAGAAAATTCTTTGGCGGCACATGATGAAATGCAAGTTCAAGCTGAATGTTCCACAAAAACCTGGCAAAACCAGGCCCTCTGCGCATTTGCAGCACCTCCACCACCTGGTGTCAAGGTGGAATTTTGGAAGCTGCTAAACAACATGGTTCAAGATGAAGTTTATTCTGTACTGAAATCGGATGCCTGTATCATGGAGTATGGTGAGCATTTGTTTAACAGGCTTGGATATGATGTTGGTAAGCATGAATACATCCGACAGAAAATGAGAGAGCTAGGAAGGCTTCTGATATGCTCAAGAAAAACCACTTCCTTGAAGACCATTAAAGATCACATCAAACCTGCCAATTTTATGCAAGTTGTGGAATCAGTGAAACACTTAGCAGGCTTTGACAGTAAAACCCATGCATACAAGTGCCCAAGTCTAGCTCTCAAAACTGGACATAACTTGACAAAGATTTCAATGCTGCTTGAAAGCCGTGCAAATGTTCAGAATGACTACAGTGCTGCAAAAGATGCTCGTACATTCCGCAGAGTGTATGAAACCAGATGGAATGAAATGATATCAGCTGCATCACTGAGAACACTTCAGGAGTCTAAGTGGAATACTCCTCTGTTGCTTCCATTCACAAAAGATGTCCAGACTCTCCATTCGTATTTGGATGTGCAACAACAAGATCTTCACGGTAAACTGTCTATAGAGGCATCCCCCCACACGTGGGCAAAACTGGCAAAGGTCATTTTGGCACAAGTCATTTTGTTTAATCGACGAAGAGCTGGGGAGGTGTCAAAAATGACCCTTTCTTCATATGTATGTCAAAATCCATCAGACCCACATGAAGATGTGAATGAAGCCCTCTCAGATCTAGAGAAGAAACTCTGTCAGCATTTCAGCAGGATTGAGATAAGAGGAAAAAGGGGAAGAAAAGTTCCTGTGCTTTTGACCCCAATGATGAAGCAAGGGTTGGATCTGCTCGTCGGCTCACGGGAGGTTTGTGAGGTTCCTCAGGAGAACATTTACCTTTTTGCAAGACCAAACGCTTTGACCTGTTACCGTGGGTCTGATTGCCTTCGACACTTTGCCAAGGTCTGTGGTGCAAAAAGTCCGGAAAGTCTCACTTCTACGAAACTTCGAAAACAAACTGGAACACTGTCTCAAGTTCTCAACCTCAGTAATACAGAGCTGGATCAGTTAGCAAATTTTCTTGGGCATGATATTAGAGTGCACCGGCAGTTCTACAGACTTCCTGAAGGTACCCTCCAACTTGCAAAAATTAGCAAAGTCCTCATGGCTCTGGATCAGGGACGCCTGGCAGAATTCAAGGGCAAGACACTGGATGACATCAACATTGATCCCGAAGGTACGTTGCCGGGAGTTGCAAGTCACAAATCTTTGGTTTGAACTGGCCCATTTCTGCTCAAGAAGGTTTGTTTATGCTCACCATGCACAGCGGTACTGCTACACCTCTTCGATGATCATATTTACTGAACCCCCATGCATTAATTATGTGTAGGGCTGCAGCTAAAATAATTTTTAGTAATCGAGTATTCTATAGATTATTACATTGATTTGTCGAGTAATCATATAAGATACACTTTTGCTTGGCGGCAACACAAACTCACGGCCCAACCAGGTGGAAAAACAATAACAATAAACGTACATTTATACAAAAAAGTTTGAAATCTTTGAAAGCCCTACTTATTTAATTTTTCTTCACAGATTTTAACATGAACACGTAATGTCTCATACATGTTTGTCTTTGGCGTAATTGGGGGCGTCAGGATCGAATGAATTACATGTACTTTCACTAACAGTCATTCTTTTCCCTCTCCCCCAAACCCTCCACAGAAAATGTGCTCTTGGACAGCGAACATGAGTCAGAGTCAGGTACGTATTTTACATATGATCCTAAATCTGACCATGTTCAAGGGTGACTACAAATGTCGATTTACTTCATGGATGTCCCAAACCAGGCTTTTTTTCTCTTAAATATTAAATGCTAATGTGTCCAATCTGAGTCCAACCTGATACTTTTACCTAAATATTGATTAAATATTTGAAACAATAAAATAACAGCTATACTCGGACGCACTTGATCCAAATACTTAAAGGGCACCTGTTATGGAATTTTCAAAATTACATTTCTTGTTGTGTGTAACAGAGATCTAAGTGAACGAAAACATCCTGCAAAGTTTTAAATATGAAAGTTCAACGTATACAAAGTTATTGTCTCAAAGCAAGAGTTGACTCAGTTGCTGATATGAATCGATAGACGAAGAATGCTTTTTCTCGATCTAGATGACATCAACTTGACAAGTTATTTGAATAAGATACGCCCACTTATTGCGCTCTTAGACGCCAGGAAAAACTTGAAAACATCATGGTGACGAGACGCTGTGTTCTGAAGTGTGACGCAAAAGCAACTTTTTTTTTCATTTGCCTTTTTTCACTTTTTTCATTATTTTATGTGTTGTGTACACAGCACAGCTTCTAGGTCATCAATGTTAATTGTATCGAAATATGAAGTGTTTTTAGTTGTTATTGGAGTTGTCATAAAGAATAGAACAATATCTCGTAGTACTGCATTATCAATTTGTTTTTGCGTTGGGCTAATGCATAGACTGAATGTGCTTTTGCCACTGAACTTTGGGCTATGGTTGCTAACATAACTCAACTTAAATTCCTTAACTCACAACTGAATGGGTCATCTGACCAATCACCGCAGATTAGCGTCATGCAAAGGCGGGGTTTGGTAAAAATTAATCTCTGAATGATTCTTATGGGAGTCTTATTTTTTTATTTATAAAAAATAAATAAATGCATATTATAAAACAATAAGTGTTTGTCATTGCATGCTTGTAAAACTGTTGTTTGGGACGCCCAAAACAATATTAGGAACATTTTAATTGCCACTATAGGTGCCCTTTAAGGTCCCTGTTCAAAACTCTTATTTTGATAAACTGCAATTACTAATGTAATATGAATGATTAACTTGGGGAAAGCTATTATTGAAATATACATGTTCAGTTACAATGAAGACATCTCACACCTTGTTGAGACTACAGAAACACTCAGATGGTACAGTTGTCTTAGAGTGGATCTTCTGCCCAAATTGTGAAAGTGATTTTTATTTAATTTTTTTCACATACATTTTTTCACTTTTGCATCAATAGCAGACTGTGGTGGACAAAACAGAGTTCAGTCAAGAAACTCTGTACAGTTATTAAAGTGTCAGAGTTTGAATGCTCAATTAAAAAAATGCCCAGATTGGCCTTGATACCGATATATTCAGGATCAACCTTCTCTAATATACTGTTGTATGACTAATACGTCTTAATTGTTATTTTCTGCATTTTTTTTCTGGGTTTCAGAGAGTCAGGTTACAACGACTCAGTGGGAAGAGAATGAAACAGCAGTTCCAGATGTCAGTCATAGCGATGCTGCACCACAGCAGGACACCGTAACAACTACACAAGCCTTGCATCACAAGCCTAAAAAGAGGGATGCAGGTTAACTTTTTAGATATCTCAAAATTATTTACATTGTGATCAATATTCCCTTTGTCTGTTTAATGTCAAACTTTGTTACTGTAAAGATTGCTAAAAACTGAAATGTTTATCTTTCACATTCTTTGTTTGTTATAACCAACCTGTACAGGTCGTCAGCCGTTCAAGAGAAGGGTGTGGGAGAAAGAGGAGATCCATGCGGTCGAGAAGCACATGATGTCCTTCATCACTTCATGCCGTGTACCAGGAAAAAGTGACTGTGATAAGTGCCTTAACCTGGAGAAAGCAGCACTTAAAAACAGAAATTGGCTGGCCATTAAGTTCTATATTAAGAATAGAATCACAGCTCTCAAGAACAAAGTTTAAAACAGTGTCATGGCTATGTCACGTTTAAGTTTAAATGTGTTGCTCATTAAAGAATGAGGAATGTTGGAATTACAAAGGAATGTTGGAATTAGATTGGTGGTATTCAGCACTAAGAAATGTTAAGAACAGAAAAGAAAAAAAAGCCTTTAAGCATTTAATGCAGTTAAGATGGCACAATGTTCCAGGAGCTGAAATAAAAAATTTTACAGTCAGTCTATTGTTGGGATTTGTATCGTGTAAAATGCTGACCTTAATCAAAGTCTTTTTAGGCAAGTCATACCACTTGCCCCGGGCAGCTATTTCGGATTTTACAAGACCAGGCTCTATCTAAATGAATGGGCACAGAGTCAGAACTGCACTTTCATTGGTCCCCAGGACATAAAAACTGCATGTATAGAAACAGCAGTAAAATATACTTTGCCCCAAAATAAGGTTTAAAACGCCTTTTTCCCCACAGGTTATACTTTACTGCGCATGCAAGGGTTCTCTCGCTCTCTGACGTTCATGTGTTACTGCATGCTCGCTAGCCGCTACTTCTGAAAGACTTGGGATGTCTGATATTTATGATATTTACACAACTAACACATCAAATTTGCCGCTATCGCAAACCTCAAGTACGCATGCGTCGGTGGAACCAGGCGATAGGTTTAAATGTTTCCCGGCTTGACTGTTAAAAGGAGATGATTGGCTGTCCAGCGGGAGGGGCGGGGCATGTGCATACAACCGCCATCTTTGGTGTTACGGGTTTTCCCTATACCGTTGTATTAAGGATTGAGGAAGTACCATGTCTCTTTATAAATAGTCTCTGCCTTAACCCCTTAACGCCCACTGTTGCAAATATGCTACAAACCGTTTGACTCAGTCAACCAGCTGAGATAACGTCTGCATTCCCCCAATGCACTTGTTTCAAAGTGACGGACTTATTTCCTGTTTACACAGGAGGATTACTCCGGTCAGGAACATTTGCAACATACCAAATTGACCATTATGCCCGTTGTTGCAGATTTGCAACATACCAAATTGACCATTATGCCCGTTGTTGCAGATTTGCAACATACCAAATTGACCATTATGCCCGTTGTTGCAGATTTTCAACATACCAAATTGACCATTATGCCCGTTGTTGCAGATTTGCAACATACCAAAATTTCGATTTATTTGTTGTGCAAATGTGAAATTGATAATCTCAACATTATTTACCATCTACTTAAAGGCAAAAACACACATAAAACATTTTTTTATATACAGCTATATAAATTCAGACGTTAAGGGGTTAATTGTGAACTTTGCGCTTGTTTGTGATTAGCAATGGTTCAATATGAAGCCTTGAAACACGGACAACCACCTGATTAAAGGGACTTATTTTACTTCTGTTGCAGTTAGAAAACTATACAACAGCATGTTGACTAATAATATAATAATATTCTACTGGCCAACCTTTTCAACCTTACCAATATATAATATAATTAGGTTGTACAATTACATAACACCAATTTTGCAAGAAATTTTGCTCCAGTAAATATTTTGGCACATGACAGTTGTAATTGGCTCTCAAAGTAAGTTTAACCTGAATGTGTGTCAAGTGGTACCCAGAAGACTGAAAAACCTGATGGTGTGTATATGTGGACCCCATTAATGACTAAATACCTGATAAGTCCCCAGGAAGCGGCTCCTAGTCAGGTCACGGAACTCTACTTGGTCTGATTCATCATTTAATGTGACATCTGTGTTTATGACTACTCCAGTATGCTTCCTGAATTTTTTTACTGCTGCACAACCTTCAGAAAGGGTGGTTCCCAGAATGCATGATCCTGTCAGGTGGCCACACAATGCCTCAAAGACAAGGCTGTGTGTGTGTGTGTGTGTAAAATGAGAAGTCATTTATTATGAGGGTTCAGAGGGCATGTAGACTATGCACTTTCTTTTACTGTCTATGACTATGCACGGAACGATTTTTTTTAAGCGGAAAATTAATAATTTTATTTCTGAAATGTATTTATAGTGTCTATATAAACCACTATATATTTTATAATGACATTATAAATATACATGTAGCCTACATTAATATGTTTTAATTAGAATTACGATTACTGTATAGGCTAATATTTGTAGTAGGACATTCAGTTACTTTTGAAAGGACGATAATAAAGTGTCAGTGTATTTCATAAGTCTTTAACTTTGCCAGCTATATAAAAATCTAGCATTTCCTCCCGTTTACCATTGCTTTTTAGTGACAGTCGAAATGCATGGGACAGTGACGTGATGGCCATACCACACACACTCCCTCCCTTCTTCTCACAGCTAGCCACGCCCATTTCAGTTGCATTTTTCAAAAAGATTTTGAGCTAGACTTGAGCTGAAAGAGGGGGGTTTCGTGACCCTTTAACTATATTATTTTATGTTTCTTACGTTATTTTGTTTTTACTTTATGCTATTTACTGTTACTAAAAATGTGCAAGAGTTCATTGTGCGCATGTGTGAACAAATGGGGACTTTTATTTTGACTCAACTTGTGTTCCTTCCTTGAGATGAATGTCGTGCTGCTGCTCCTCGCTCACTGATGTTATGCCAGCGCATTGAGACGAAAACTAACAAATAATTAACACTGTTATTTAAAAATTGTATCTGGATTGTTCTTTAGAGGATGGATGATTGCAACATATTGTGCATGGACATGACAGACGGAAATGAAAACTTAACATAAGCAATACCATTTAGAGAAGGCTACTTTTGGATTATTTGGGCTCGTCGGCATACCTATCTCTCGTTGACTGACTGGCTTGTGTTATTCCTTGTGTGTCCTGTCCGACTATGAGTTATGATGGGTCGTTCGCAATTCATGAGCGTTAGCCGATAGTGATGATGGGTCGTTCGCGGAGGAGCGTAATAAGTGATGATGGATCGACTCGTTCGCGAATGAGCTTTTGATGGGTCGTTCGCAATTCGCGAATGAGCCGACTCTTTTATTTGAACGTCGGGAGCTCGCTCGCATATCTGAAGAGCCGACTCTATTTTTACAAATTTAGCCTATATAAATTAAATAATTTTGTGATAAAAAGTGAAATATTATAGTCAAAGTCATTTAAAGAGCCGTTTGTGAGCCAAAAGAGCCGGCTCTTTTCAGAGCTGAGTCAAAAGAGCCGAATGCTCATCACTACTATGCGTGCTTTAGAACACCCGCCCAACTCTACCTCTGATTGGCTTACAGTGACAGTTTACTCTACCTCAGCCAATCGTCAGCATTTATGCGCTTTGTCTCGTGCTCAATGGAAGAACAGTAAAAAAGTGTGCCTCTCGCTCAGAGATCTAGTTGGTCTGATGAAAAAAAAAACAGCTGCATCAGTTGTATAGTAACGGGACGCATTTTTTGGCAGTAACAGTAACGGCGTTGTTAAGATGAGAAGAGTAATCAATTAGATTACTCGTTACTGGAAAAAGTAATGCCGTAAAATAAATGTAATTATTTTATAACGCCTTTATTCCCATCACTGGTTTTAATACTGATGATTTTGGCACACAGCTCATGAAAACCCAAAATTTCTCTCTCAAAAAATTAGCATATCATGAAAAGGTTCTCTAAACGAGCTATTAACCTAATCATCTGAATCAACTAATTAACTCTAAACACCTGCAAAAGATTCCTGAGGCTTTTAAAAACTCTCAGCCTGTTTCATTACTCAAAACCGCAATCATGGGTAAGACTGCCGACCTGACTGCTGTCCAGAAGGCCATCATTGACACCCTCAAGCAAGAGGGTAAGACACAGAAAGACATTTCTGAACAAATAGGCTGTTGCCAGAGTGCTGTATCAAGGCACCTCAGTGGGAATGAAAAAGTGTGGCAAAAAATGAGAAGAGGTGACCAGACCCTGAGGAAGATTGTGGAGAAGGACCGATTCCAGACCTTGGGGGACCTGCGGAAGCAGTGGACTGAGTCTGGAGTAGAAACATCCAGAGCCACCGTGCACAGGCGTGTGCAGGAAATGGGCTACAGGTGCCGCATTCACCAGGTCAAGATACTTTTGAACCAGAAACAGCGGCAGAAGCGCCTAACCTGGGCTACAGAGAAGCAGCACTGTTTCATTGTTAAAAAAATTGTTAAAAAAAAATTGAAATTAATAGATAACCTTGTATGAAAATACCATATGAAAAGTTAATGCATGATTTAAAATGTTTTAAAACAACATAAGGGCACTAATTTAGTAGATAAAGTGAGCGTTTCTTGGACTGTTAGTAAAAACGGCTTTTTTTCAACATCGCGTCATTTGACGTCATATCAGGGAGCCGCAGCCTCGGCTCAGTGAAGAGTAGGCTGGTGTTCAGTGAGAGCGGTTGTCTATCAGTGTGCTTTCGGTACTTTCTGTATTATAATTTATCATCGTCATGGTAAATTATTGTGTTTGCGGAGGTTGCATAAACTCAGGCCTGTCAGTACTTCAAGGTCGAGTCCACAAGTTTCCATTACAAGAAAAGGGACGGTGCTATAGCCTTTCTTTTGTTCATGGTGCGATTTGTGAAATAGAGGCAACTTGTAACTGAAAAACAAAATTGGTTGTTTAAATACTCAAATCTTTAATTTTCTGTTTATGTTATAACCCAGGTGAAAAATATGTATTAAAATTTTACCTGAGTGCTTTTAGTACAATAGAAATATACTCTAGTAAAGTTTTTATACATTTAATAGTAAAGCATATATTTGGAACCAATGTACTTATACTGCACTTTTTAGAAATATGTTAAAAGCATGCTTGTTTTCAATATACGTCTAGAAAATATACTTACTTAATATAAGTACAATTATTTTAAAGTGTGTTTAAAGTTGTATTGTGAAAATAGGTAAAAAGCATGATGCTAATATACTTTTAATGTATTTAAATATAGTACATTTTTTGTTAGTATATTTGCAATGTACTATTGAAAAAGGGAATATACTGTATTTCAAATACAATAAAGTATACTTTTTTTCCACTAGGGTAACTATTGATTATGATTTAATTTAGAAGTTTAAGTGTGATTTAATTTAGATCATTGATTATTCTTTTTCTTACACTTTCAGTTATTAACTCATTATGGACCCGATACCGCACAGAGATCACGGCGGCCGGATCGTGTTTCTCACGGACACAAACCTTGTCAGTTCTGTATTTAGTCAGAGGGCGCAGGGTTAACTAATACTTCTTAAGTCGGTTGCCTACTGCTCACTCGTACAAAGAATGTAGTTTATTTTTGCCACTTCCATACAACTTGCCAAATCAGTGATGGACAGAAATCAAAAGGTCTTCAGAGGACGTGCCTACTGCTCCATTCACATCTGCGCCTTTAGTTTGACCTATCCTGCAAGATTTGCGGTAGCACCAGCCTCCTATAATTTACTAAAATAATGACGTCAGAACCCATGGAGGAGAACAGGATTCTCAGAAGTTCTCAAACTTTCTCCTATTTCCAATGACTGCAATGAAATTAAGACCATTTTACCAATCGCACTGAGACAATAATAATGAAACCAAACATAAAAAGGGAAAACCTTAGATTCACAAGATGCATCATATGTGATATATAGACATTTTCAGTGAACTTTTAGTGACTTTAGGTCAGGGGGAAAGGAAGGGAGGAGGGAGAGGGGGATGCAGAGATACGGTAGAAGAAACGTTTGGACAGGACAATGTCCTGTGCTCTTTCTTTGCGATCTTTTGTCCAGGGTGCATTTTATTGCTTTATGCTGAGTTTATCTCAGCTTTTGTCTTCAGCAGGAAAATCAGTTCTTACACTGTCAATCAAATCATTCATTAAATATTCACGAATATGTTAAAAACCTACTTTTGCAAACTAGTCCTAGGTTTTTCGCCCAATCAGAACCAGAGCAGTCTAGGACAATTCTCTGGAGTCTGGACTCTCCAGATCAATAATTATATACATTTTTTTTAATCCATTTGGTTGGCTATAACAGGGTAATTTAGAAAATGGCCATGGCAAAATACACCCAAAAGCCTATAAATTTTTGATCCAGAAACATGCAATACAACATGCAATGCTGTAGTAATTTATTGATGTAGAAAGCAGAAAGAAACAAAGATGGTTACACACAAACCCCTGATCAAACTAGGGTTAAGAATCAGGTGCTTTTAAAACCATTTCAAACCTTTACTGAATGGGCACTGAAACTTATTTATTTTAAGCATAAAAGGTGCATAGGTAAAATGAAGAAGAAGAAAAATCCCAGCAGTTTGGTATTTTGCTTGTAGGATCAGTGGACTGTGGTGTAACATCCTCTCATTCCACTTATTCTGGCAATGAAATCAGAAAAACATTATTAAGGCAAAATATACATAGTACAAATGTCTACACACCATCACTTTCTCCATTTATTGCTCACCTGCAAACACCTCAACCTCACACAGTGTGAGATGTTCATTGCGCCCAGGTATAATAATGTTGACATATCGGCCATAAATAGGCTTAAACTCAAATGCTTTTGTCTCTCCAGCTGGGATGGACACAACAGCTTCAGCCCTGTGAAGACACAGAGTAACAAATGAGTAGTTAAATATTAAATATTTTCTGTCAGTTAAAATTAAGGATTTATTCAAAGTAATGTTATCTTATCTACTTTCTTTCCAACCACTTGTTTAAATATTAAAGGAACCGTATGTAAGATTGAGGCCAAAACTGGTACAGCAATCACTTTCAAATTACTGTAGAGCGGTGTATCACCCCCCCCCCCCCTTTAAATGATAATACTGTTGTCAGTGATATAAGTATTTGAAATGAACATGACTTCTTAATATCTAGTGAAATATCAGGGCCATTTTATTAATTGAAATTTCATTTCTTACATACAGCTCCTTTAAGAGAGAGGCAATACTTACAGCTCATTATTGTTGCCATTATTTTCCAGGTTGTTGCCGATACGGATCTGAGCTCCATTTATCCTCTCTGCGCAACAATCTCCACGATTAGTGATGAGGACCTTGTTAACCTTGTAGACTTCCCCCAGGTCAACTCTCCACCAGGGGTCTCTGTCCGCATTAGTTTGACTGCATGACCCACCACTCATAATTGAATTCCAGTTTCCATTGACAGCTTTTTTAGCCACTGCTCCACTGTTGAGATGGTATGTGGAAGACTGATAAGCTGTGGCTCCAAAAGCAAGATTTCCTGTTTAACATAAAATATAATCAACAATAGCTTACTTTTATGTGCTAAAATATAATCCCAATAATGGGCAAAATTAAACTAAGGTATGTAATCCAAATGATTATTACACGGCTCTCTGGAATACTTGATTCTGATTGGTCAGTTGTGACTGAGGTCTAATATTTCCAGATAATGACATCATCAACAGCGGCTGGTTAGGAAATTTACGGTGACGCATTGCTGCTACATACATATAATTTTTTCCCCTCAATTATGTCGTAATAACGAGATCTTATGTCGTTAATGGGGTCATATAATGCCATTTTTGTAAAAGTTAATATGAATGTTTAGGGTCTAAATGAAAACTTTGTAATATACTTTTATTAAAAATTCTCATTAGTATTTTAGGAAAACAGCATTTTACCTGGTCAAAATCAGCTCTTGTTTTCAGCAAGCCGTTTGAGTAACACAGTCTCAACCCAAGAAGTCTTATAACTGACGTCATTGGACAACACATTCTCATCCCAAAAAGTCATATAACTGACGTTTGGGACGTCTTTTGACCATACGTCAATATCCGCCTTTTCAGGGCCCCCCTAAACGTCGGTTATTTGACGATCCTGGGACGTCATACAACTGACGCTTTACCTTTAACGTCAGTTAGGTGACGGGGTAGGTTTAGGGTTAGGTTTAGGTCTGGGGTAGAGTTAGGATCCGATAACGTCATCTAACCGACGTTTAGGGGGGCCCTAAAAAGGCGAATATTGACGTATGGTCAAAAGACGTCCCAAGACGTCAGTTATATGACGTCTTGGGATGATGCCTTTAAATAGTAAAACCCCGCCCCCTGTTCTGCGGGCGTGAACGCACGTGGAGTGTTGCCTTGACAACAGTTGAAGGTTTTGGAGAGAGAATGACAGCGCGAGTCTCTGAGGACACATCTGCGCAACCGTATCAGTTTGAACTGGAGTAACTGTTCACCGGAACAAGATGACAGCCGCAAAGAAGTTCGACAATTAAAGTCCCCGTGAACCGGAAGTTGCAAACGATTTTTCTCCAGTGCTGTGACGTATTTCCAAGTGAAACGGAATATTGAACAGAGGGCAGGGTTTTACTCTAGCGCTCCTCCTCTCCATCTCTCGCTCATAGCAAACTAACGGTTTGAGGGGAGTGGTTAAGCGTTTCCCCACCCAAGTTGTGAAACCTAGGTCATCAGAAAAAGAAACCGTTCCAGACCGGAAGTAACTTTTCAGATTTTGATTAAAGATTACCAAGGTAAAACATTTTTTAAATATATTTTTACTTGCACGGATTAATTGTTCACCACAAGACTAGTAATATGCGCTAACAAAGTAAATCCCAGATAGCAAACTGACATTGAATCAACGTGGAAACGACGTCTCTCATGACATTGAAACAACGTTGATTTGCTCATCGAATTAACGTTGAACCAACGTCAGACGCGGCATTCTTCAAAGCTAAATGAAATCGAAAATTGGTTTGCTTTCATAACGTTGAAACAACGCGTTGATTTCAAGTTGATTTTCCGTTAGTTTTGAAAGAATGACGCGTCTGACGTTGGTTCAACGTTAATTCGATGAGCAAAACAATGTCAGATCAACGTTGTTTCGATGTCATATTTCCACGTTGATTTAATGTCAGTCTGCTATCTGCGATAGGTTCAATTTTGATTTCACGGGGACTTTAAGGCTTGAGGACGTTTCTGAATGGTTGGTTAACGTAATGTTACTTTGATCTATCTTTGTATGCACTGGCAGGCAGTGTTGGGGAGTAGTTAACTACAAGTAGCGACGCTACTAACTTAACTACATTTTTCAGTAGCTTGGAAGTAGCTCAGTTGCTTTTTAAACAGTGTAGCTTTTCCTGTAGCTAATTACTTTTTGCAGAAAGTAGCGGTGTAGCGCGAGCAAAAGCTACATCGCGTTTGTCGAGCCTGCGCGAATCAGTGAGATGCAAGGATAATCTTCTTCTTGTTAGATTACCCAGCCATCATCTATAATCGGCCCGAGCTCGACTTCCTCGCGGCGCCTACGGCTTAGACTCGGCATCGGCGTGTGTTAACCGGGCCGATTGTGGCCTGCAGCTCGCGATGGCACATGCATTTTTTTCCGGCTGTAAAGCACTGGGCCGATTCATGTTCACCTAACCTGGCTTGCTGTATGATCTGGACCACTTCTGGAAATGACTCGGCTGGTTAAATCAAGGATGGTTTTAATGTAGCAATAAATAACATAAAAATATTTTAAAGTCTTTCTTTCTTCTTTCTATAATATTAATAACCATAGCAAAAATATTTAGTTGTCATGATCATTACGTTTATTTATTTTAAACATGCATATGCCCGCTGACACTCGCACATCGCTATGGTGGATAACAGAAACAAAATTCCGGCCAAAATGTTTTTCTACCGGCCAACATAATGTTTAAGATACACTATCCTGTGTTTACTTGAGTTAAGGGGATGAGATGGATATGTACAACTTCTTGTTAGCAACATTGAGTCTGCAATTCATTTTATTGGCTATTTCAAATATATACCAGACAGTGACAGCTGTTTAAACTCTGGGCGCTCGGCTCAGACCCTTTTACTGGTGTGAAGCCGAGTTCAATGGTTACTGCAGCAAGTGTCAGCACATGCTCAGCTCATCACTGGAGTCACGTGTGCACAACTTGGACTTGGAATAATCCCTTTTCGATATATGCATATGTGCTGTATTGCTTTCATTATTTTTCCTGTGTGCAGTTTGTATATTGTTGTAATCTACTTGTATTTTTGATACCTTGGCATTAATAAAAAAAAAAAAAAAAAAAATCCCTTTCCGATCCTGCGCCATTACGGTGAACTTGAGGTAAGTTTCAATTTCAAGCATCAACATTTCACGCCAAGCATAGTTTCAATCGAGTTCCCTTAACATTAACTCCGAACTTTTCGAACTGTTGCTGATGAAATGTTATGTTCGATCTGTTTAAACTTTGTTCATGGTCCTTTGACATCCCTCCAGAAAAGAAAGAATTCAGAATTAAATAATTCGTTATCACGTCTGAGTAAACGTTGCAATTTAGGTAACATTAACGTTAATATGAAAGGGAGACCATGAAGTTGGAGACCTTTATGGCGCGAATGAAGCTAACATTGACTAACGTTAGCTGGGATGTTAGCTCTTCTTTGCAGCTTGGCAAAGAACTAGGCTAGACGCCATTTTTATTGAATGTAATTTACGTGAATAATATTTCGAGCACAGTCTTTGATCTGTGGAAGAAAATAAAGTCTAACAAAATATTACCTGGATTAAGGCCAATTCAGACAGCACAGACAAACAGCAACAAACATTGTCCTAGAAAGTATACACATTTTAAACCTGTAAGAAAATGTTTATTATACTTATGTAAATTTTAACAGAGGAATGATGTGGGACTTGATGTGTGGGTATGATGTAAGTCATGCTGAAAGCTGGGTCATTGTCTGTTGCTGAGTGAGATGGCTCTTAATATGAAAATGTGTTTTAAAAAGTTTTTTAGCCTTAATCGGGCCGCGTTAATACCGAGCGCTCGGCCGAGTGTTTTAGCCTTAATCGGGCCGCGTTAATACCGAGCGCTCGGCCGAGTCTTTTAGCCTTAATCGGGCCGCGTTAATACCGAACGCTCGGCCGAGTGTTTTAGCCTTAATCGGGCAGCGTTAATACCAAGCGCACGGCCGAGTCTTTTAGCCTTAATCGGGCCGCGTTAATACCGAGCGCTCGGCCGAGTCTTTTAGCCTTAATCGGGCCGCGTTAATACCGAACGCTCGGCCGAGTGTTTTAGCCTTAATCGGGCCGCGTTAATACCGAGCGCTCGGCCGAGTGTTTTAGCCTTAATCGGGCCGCGTTAATACCGAACGCTCGGCCGAGTGTTTTAGCCTTAATCGGGCCGCGTTAATACCGAGCGCACGGCCGAGTCTTTTAGCCTTAATCGGGCCGCGTTAATACCGAGCGCTCGGCCGAGTCTTTTAGCCTTAATCGGGCCGCGTTAATACCGAGCGCTCGGCCGAGTCTTTTAGCCTTAATCGGGCCGCGTTAATACCGAACGCTCGGCCGAGTGTTTTAGCCTTAATCGGGCCGCGTTAATACCGAGCGCTCGGCCGAGTGTTTTAGCCTTAATCGGGCCGCGTTAATACCGAACGCTCGGCCGAGTGTTTTAGCCTTAATCGGGCCGCGTTAATACCGAGCGCTCGGCCGAGTCTTTGAGCCTTAATCGGGCCGCGTTAATACAGAGCACTCGGCCGAGTCTTTTAGCCTTAATCGGGCCGCGTTAATACCGAGCGCTCGGCCGAGTGTTTTAGCCTTAATCAGGCCGCGTTAATACCGAGCGCTCGGCCGAGTGTTTTAGCCTTAATCGGGCCGCGTTAATACCGAGCGCTCGGCCGAGTCTTTGAGCCTTAATCGGGCCGCGTTAATACCGAGCGCTCGGCCGAGTGTTTTAGCCTTAATCGGGCAGCGTTAATACCGAGCGCTCGGCCGAGTCTTTTAGCCTTAATCGGGCCGCGTTAATACCGAGCGCTCGGCCGAGTCTTTTAGCCTTAATCGGGCCGCGTTAATACCGAGCGCTCGGCCGAGTGTTTTAGCCTTAATCGGGCAGCGTTAATACCGAACGCTCGGCCGAGTGTTTTAGCCTTAATCGGGCCGCGTTAATACCGAGCGCTCGGCCGAGTGTTTTAGCCTTAATCGGGCCGCGTTAATACCGAGCGCTCGGCCGAGTGTTTTAGCCTTAATCGGGCCGCGTTAATACCGAGCGCTCGGCCGAGTGTTTTAGCCTTAATCGGGCAGCGTTAATACCGAGCGCTCGGCCGAGTCTTTTAGCCTTAATCGGGCAGTGTTAATACCGAGCGCTCGGCCGAGTCTTTTAGCCTTAATCGGGCCGCGTTAATACCGAGCGCTCGGCCGAGTCTTTTAGCCTTAATCGGGCAGCGTTAATACCGAGCGCTCGGCCGAGTGTTTTAGCCTTAATCGGGCCGCGTTAATACC